GTCGAGCCCTGTAACGGGGAGGTGAGGTAGAAGAAGGGAAACGGATAAACCTGGCCTACAAAACGATGGCAAACGACGACGTTTTGTTTTCCTCCCTCTCGCTCGTTAACTCTAATGGTAATGGCTCGTCTCCCTTCGGGGTAAACGTTTGGCATTGGCTTCTTCTAACGACCTCCAACCTCTAATCGTCCCGACGTTGGCCGGGCGCGACGACGCTCGTCCACCCCCCCCGACGCGGAAAAATCCAGAGTAAACTCCAAGAGAAATCCGGATTATCCGGCTTAATAGGGGGTGGACTCGGGTGGCGGGCGACGGAAGGCGCCGATCGATTAACAAAAGAATAAACGAAACGAGAGGTGTATCTCCGAAGGTATTAAGAGACAACACGGTGGGTCGGAGGGAAATCGCGCGCGATGGGACGAGTCGGATCGATGCGTAACGGTCGTAAAACCTCCCTCTCCTATTATCTACTGNACAACTTTAACGCCATTACAAATTTCTCACTGCACAATAACTTTTTGGACGCCCCATATTTGAATATTTTCAGACACGTTGCACTAGTCTCGGGCAACATTTAGTCTTTCCAAAAAATAGATACCATCATCCGTCTTTGGAAAGACTTTTATTATGTTCATATCATTTGGAAATAAAAAAAAATTGTAGCAATATCCAAATTCGAATTTCCTAGAAAAACGTTTTTATTCTCCAATGTAAAGATTATGGAAATTCGGTTTAATTTTAATACTTTACATTTGTAATAAATTATAATTTTTTCTAGAAAATGCAATAAAATTGATTACTCTATAAATAACGTAATTAAATAGATGCAAAATCAAATACGGTAAGTCAACATTTAACAGCAATATTTAATTTTCGGAGGGGAAAGGAGAATGCAAATTGTTTTTCTAATTTCCGCCCCCACTTTTTGTAAATAAAAAAATAACGTCCCGGTATTTTTAATCTATTGTTTCTCTTATGCCACATAAAAGCCGATAGCAATCTCCACGACAAAATCATTTCCGACTGAAATTCCACGGAAAAGAAAAAACAATTTTTAAAAAAATGTAAATGGAACATTTCCCCATTTCTTTCTGACTGCTTAATTTATTTGTATAAATTTTCCCACGATTATTTTACTCACAAATTGCACCTTTAAGACTGCCGAAAAGGCACCTCGTCATCTCAAATTATTTTATTTTGTTCGAAACTTTAAGCTCGACAAAAAATACGATTATTGAAAATTTTGCTTCTTTATCTGTAATTTAATTCCTCATATTTATTTAGGAAAAAGTTGCTAGTTTAATTATGCATCAAATAAAGTTCTAACTAAAGTAGAAACAAAGCGTAACCTGTCTCCTTATAGCTTCAATTCATTAATTACTAGATATAATCGTAGTGCCTCTTAACACTACGATATTTACAATATTCCAGCAGCTGACAAACTCGAGTCAGTTTCCTTCCACATTCTAACTACAACTGATCCACTTTCCTATTGGTTCTCTAATTTTGCCAACTATGATTAATTGGGCTGCAATTTGAAAAAATTATAGATAAATTCCCATTGTCATCTGCCTATCCTTAATGTGGAGGATGGAGTTAGATAGATGAAAGAGAAGACCAGATATGGAAACGTTAGGGGCAGGAGGTCCAATTAACTACATACGAATGTCTGATGTGAACCGGAAGCCACATTATTTCAATTCAAAAATTTCCCCAAAAATGTGTTATTGGCAAGACTCTATTGTTAAAGGAAAAGTATGATTTACAGGGGCAAGTCACTACTAAATTGGAGAGCATATATATCTTAAATGAAATAAATTAAAAATAAGTTTAAAAATTGCAGCTCGGCAATGTGATGAAGTCACAATAAATAATTGCTTGTGTAATATAACATCCAAGAACTGTTACAGATAACTAAAAACTATGCAACTAATCCTAATGCGTATGCGTATAGACTTTTACATAGTAAAAGATAAATTTTACATGTTCTCTTCTTAGTATACCGATTAAAAATGTCTTCCAAACGATGCTTTAATAGAGGATATCCATTAAAAAATTATTCATGAAATAATTTACTTATTGCTTAAAATTTTTAAAATTTCTTTCGCTATTCATAAAGCATTGATTGAAGTGCATTTACACAGAAACAAATTTTTATGCAAGGACCAGTTTGAGACGACTGACAGACATAAGTCTCGTCCCCGAATAACACAAAAATGCAACAGACGATGCAAATTTACCTTAAATTTAAGCAAGTCAAAAGCAAACTGATTCAAAATATGTTAAAAGTGTAAAAGTGCCATATTTTTGTCTTTTTAAATAAAAAAAAAAAGCACCCAATAATTAATTTTTATTTTGTATTATTCTATTCAATAGCCTAACTCTATGCATTCCACATTCACTGAAGATACCATACTAAAATACTACTAGAATTTAAAGTCGTGTAAGGATTTATAATGCACGACCTCGAAAATCCGACATTGTTCCGCTATTTAAACTGTTTCGTGCATGCGATCGTCGACGACGATAAATATGTTAAAAATAACTCTTTTACGTTAGTTTTTCTTGAGAATCGTCTGGCGAATGTTTCGTGACATAATTTAAAACATTATACTCGATACATCACTCGTATGCTTACGCAGAATTCCATTATGCTTATTTTCCATCCTTTGTTAGAAAATATAGCAGAGTTTTCGAGTGAGATGCAAGTTTTTCCGATATCACAATAAAATCCCATGAAATAAAACAGATTTTATTACGTTGTGATGTAAGCGCAGGCAAAAAGCGATAAAATGACTTAAATTTCTTGTTTGAAGTATCGCTTCTTTTGTTTCTCACGAGAGAAACAAAAGCGATTTTCTACTGCCAGTTTTTTCTAGAAATATTTTTTTAGAACTTAACACATTTAGTGATGTGATTGTTACATTACTTATAGATAAGCTTTCCATTCTTGCACTATAATTTCTCTACCCGTAGTTAATGAAGATTCTAAGACAAAATGTATGACATACGAGCATTTAATTTTCACTACCTGATCGCATTATCCCCAAAGATGGCACTAAACGAAATGTGGTGCAAGTAGCGGACGGGCGAGGGGAGTGCGTGTCTCGGTTGCCAAGAGGAGAGGGCACACAATTATTTAAAATATTAATTATAAGGATAACTTATTGGTTCTAGGTAGAGGTTCCGACTCAGTCGTTACGTGTCGTCAAGGTCCCAAACTCCCAGAGGAAGAGTAACTAATAAGAGGTGCTAAGTATGGAGTGCCAAGATCTTAGTTTGCTACAAGTGACTAAGAATTATGTTCCTGCATTATTGCAATACCTATCTATGAACTGCCAGACAACAAATCCAAAAAAAAATAATAATAAACTTTAAAGATTTTATAAAAAATGAAAATAATTAAATTTTGTGCATTTCAAAGATGTATACCAATTATATTTACAAAAGATAAAGATGTCGACGTAGCAGGCACAGAAAACATTAAATAGAAGCCTTATCTTTAGTATTGCAGCCACGTGCCGGAGAGGTCTCGGTTTAATTACCGCAAAGACGTAGTAAATTCTTTACCGTCGAACGTAACTAGTTAAATTACCGACTACGATCTTAGCGTTTCAGACTTTCATTTTCATTTTCTATAAATAATTGGATGCGTGTCAAATTTTCACTTTTGAGCTAAAGATCCCGGCTCGTTACTCGATAAACTCATTCCAAATCACTTCAAGTCTCTTGACAGAAAGTAATTATCCGAACATTTTTATCGTCTCCCGGATCCATTTTGAGATTTATACTCGTTAAAGATCAAACAGTTCAATTTTTTCTTAATATTCTACTTTACTTTTCTTGTATTTTACATTCTTTCTGATTGTTTTTAACCAAATTTTGAAATTTAAACTTAATTCTTATACTATTTTCGATCGACCGAAAAGTTTTCTACTTTTTATTTCGAGTTAAAATGAATACAAATAACACGAGACAAGATTTCTGCCAATATTTCCAAAATTTGGAAAAAATTTAAGAGAAGAGAAGAGAGAATAATCTGAAGATTTGTTCCAATAGAGATTCGAAGTAAAAAGAATGGAGAAAACACAAAGCCACTTTTTAAATTTAAGACAGGTTTCGACGGTAACAGGATTTCTTTCGCTACTTTTCCCCTTAATTTTTAAACTTCTACTCTCCGGAGAGTGCTTCCGGGGCCCTCGGACGTTTATAAAATAAATTTACGTCGACGCGTTCCGAACTCGGGCCCCCGGAGAGAGCCCTTCCGAACTGATACGACCGCTTTATTTTCCGGGAGAGGAGAGTCGATCCGGAATTCGAGTTTCCAGACTTTAAGGTCGGTAAATACCGAGAATAATTTCTCCCAGAAGCATACAGAAAATCCGATTTAATTTAAATAAATCTTTCAATACGAATAAATTTGAATTTGAATCTGCATGCCAACGTTTAATATTGCAATTTTTACCAAGTTATCTCTGCAAATCAAACAAAGAGATCTTCAATTTTTTATTATAATTATAAAATCAAATTTCCGGTTACGAACGAGAGCCAAGCGACATTAGAAAGCAAGTTCCTTTTCCAGCTGAAATTTCAAATTTTGCTTATTCTAATGCAGCAATTTCCTACTGGTTCTTTTGTAAGCAAAGATATATTTTGAATTTTGACAACTTTTTATTTAAGACAGCAAAATTGCTATAAATAATTACAAATTAAACAAAAGAATTGGTTATTTTAATTAAAAGATGCGTTTGGAGTCTTAACTCGATTCAATTCCGAGCAAACCACCGGGAAAGTAATATTCCCAATTAAATTTGCATAAGTAGCATTTGGAACTTGCGTATAATTCTGCCCGCAGAGTGCATGGGCACAAAACACACCGGCATTTTTGGAAGACGTTTTCTAGACAAACGAGTAGTCATTTATTCGGCGAATATATATAAAACTATTGTCTATCGTACTGTTTTATTTTGCCGTACCGTAGACGCGACGTCGCCACTTACCCGTGTATTGTTTCTTTCCGCTTTCAATTCCTGAATCTCCTCCTCTTTCTCTAGCAATTGTTCTCTCGCCTGGTTTAACTCCTTCGTAAGAGTGGCAAATTCCTGCAAACAAAACAAGAACAGAACCTTAAATTAGAAGGCAAACATCGCAACGAGTGAAGAAAAACAATAAAGAGTATATTTTAATATAAAATTTAAATTTAATCAACGAAAAAGTACTTTGTCTGTATTAACAGTGTCAAAAATCCATCGTTCTTACCCCCCACTCCTGTAAATAACACTTCTCTGCCACGCATCGGATCGATGCGGAGGAGAATAACTTTAATAAATCATTATAAACAATCCCGAACGTTTTTACAAGCCGGTATCACGCGAGATCGTACACAAACTAGATTAATACGCAGAAAAACCTCGTGCGGAATGGCTACGAACCCCCGACACCCGTCCATACATTTGCACAGAAAGCCGAACTCGTACGTGACGAGCCGAGCTACCGAAAAGTGTAATTTCGTGACCAGATTTATCTGCATAAATCCCCGCTTTCCAGCCACACACGGGGAGGGGGGGGAAATGTTAACACCGCGCATCGACGTGTAACAGAATATTTGATTAGATTTCTCAAAAAAGATTTATCTGTGCTGCTACACCTGTAAAAACTATCGATTGTTTACTCGCGTGAGTTAACGAACACACAAAGTCGATTGTAATTCCGGGGGAGGCGTAAGATTTTCTCCAGCGCCAGCGGCTTGGAATTAAACGTAAGAGGGTCCAGCGCGTTGCGGGGGGGAAGGCGCCGATCAGTCCACCCGAAAAATTCGTCAACAAGTGGTCAAATAGGCGAACTTTCGTTGGGGGAGGCTCGGAAATGCCGATAACGAGACGTGACTCACGCAACTTTGGCTTCCAGCGAATTGTTTAAACGTCGGTGGGACACGCAGGACGGAAAGTTTACGATGCGGTCGGAACACAGACGGGTTCGCACGCTATCCATACAGACGTAGAGCGACGCTTGCCACTTGAAAGCGACGTCTTCACCCTTTCCCCCCGTCGTAGGTTAGTTTACTTTCCCGCCAAAGATTAACACAGCATCTTCCTCATCAACGTCACCGTCGGTTCGATTAAACACAGGATGGAAGTCGATACACCGGCGGGAATTTTTATTTTTAACTTAAACTTCGATCCTGGTCTCCAGAGGTGTAATGCTCCGGGGATGCGGTGTCAAGTCGCGCGAGTCGGTTCCCACAGGGTTAAAGAAAATAGAAGCGCAACACGAAGAGTGACGCGAACGTTTGACTAGAATAAACAGAGTAAAAGTAAGAAGTATAGCGAAGTTAACCTTACTATAATACAGCCTTTTGTGTTACGCTACTGTTTGACGCAAATTCCAGGGAAGTAGAAAGACAAGGAATTCGCATCCGATCGTTATTAAGTTAGAGTTACGTAACGTAACGTAAGTCTATTCGAACGGCACAAAATCCCCAAATACCGATTTAAACACGTCAAGAATCGAACCCGCGACGTTTAAATCCCGCAGGGCGACGTATAATTGAAGAATACAAACCGCTCCCCCTGCGGCATTTATCACGTGCAATTACGCGGATAACGTGAGAAAGGTGCGACCGAATCACGAACCTCCGCGATTTTAATACTCAGAAAGTATCGAGCCGAAAATCTTTTAATCCATTACACGGACGTTTCGTCACCGCACTGTCACGAACGTGTCGCAACGGGTAATAACGTTACGAAGAAATGGGACGAGCGCGTCACGTAACTTCTATTCGAAAGGGGAGGAGAAAAATCACGACACGTATACGTAACGCGAGGGAAGTGGCGATTCTTGTCCCGCTCTCCCCCGAGGTTCCAGTTTGAAGTGAGAGAAAACTTCCTCCACTCCCTCCGACTCGTATTTTCGCATCGGTTGCCCGGCAACCGGATCCGGAACGGGCACAGAGTTTAATCTCATACGCGTATGCACACTCTTCACGAGCGATCGCGCGTAGCTAGGCGCGATTTATACGTCACACCACCCGCAAACAATAGGTAAGAAGTACCAAAGATCGGGGATAACGAAGCGAAACTTTTAGAGCGGCGGAAAAACTAAAGTCGGAGGATTTCCATCCCTCCGGAGGCGCGAGGGGAGGGAGGAGTTGCCAGTTTAATTCGTCAGAAACGAGGAATTTATAATTATTCTCCCGGACATTAGTAAAAATTATAGCGGCTCGACAGTGGAAACGGGGGGGTCGAAGCGTTTAATTACGGCGCATTAATCAAAAACGGAAAGGGGGAGACGAGGGTGGGTAGGCAATGACGAGTGCGGAGCGAACGGGGAAAAAAGGGGGAGAAGAATAGGAAAATAACGCCACGGACCCTCCTCGGAATCGACTCGCCCCCCCATTTGGAGGCCAAACACCGAATCAATCGAAGAAAGTGGTTTCTCCGTTAATTACCCGAATCCGGGCGGAGCGGTGAAGTCAAACAACGAGTTGCCGCCGGCCACGGACGCCATTTTGTACCGAAATGTCTCGTTTTCACGACATCCGACGCCATCGATCCGCTATTAAAATCATTTCCTAACCGTGGGAACCGCCGGACTCCCGGCGTAACGCGCCCAACCCCGATTCCACGCGCCGTACGCCCGACCCGGATATAAAAAGCCGGGAGCGCTAACGCGGGACAGAAAACGTCGCGCGCGCCGCAATTTCCGAAAACAGAATTACCGTCGGCGCGGATCCAAAACGAAATTTGTCGCCAACGGCGACGAAAGAAATCCCCCATCGGCCGGCATAAACAATATCGTATCTACGCAACAACTTAACAAAACTGGAGACACGCACGCTTATATAAATACGTACACAAGAAAGCACTATATTTCTAACACTCCTTTCAAACTTTAGTAGCGCGCGCCGCGTTGCGATAGGCGACGCCAGCGCGCGCCGCGTTGCGATAGGCGACGCCGGCGCGCGCGTTAATTTCAGGCGACGACAAGCAGAAGACGAAGAAAAAAAACAACGCAACGGCTTAATTATTTACAGAAGTGCCAAATTAATGCACGTGACATTCCACTAAACTGCGTCACGGCTGGAGAAAGAATTTGCGCCCGGTCCTCGGGTCGATCGACGCGACGAAAAAACAAGAGAAAAACCCGGGAGCCGGGGGGGAAGGGAGGGAAGGAAGGAAGGAAGGTAAAAGAGCGCGCGCCAGGCCAAGAAAGACCATAAAATTAAGTGAATTAATCAAAGCGGAGCGGGATTAATCCGGAGCGTCCCATTCCGTGTCTATCCGGAAAGAGATTTGTTTTTTTCTTCCGGAACAACTCCCCCTTTACGGTAAATTAAAAAGAGGGGGACGGAGGGGAGGAGGAGGAGGAAGTAGAAAAAGTGTCCGACGTCATCCATCATCACTCGGATCCCGAGAGTCTCTTTAATAATGAACTCTTCCGTCTCCCGGCAGCAACGCCAATTTCTTAAGGGAAAAAATCGATTAAGTACGACGTAAAAAAAGAGGAAAATCGTATTTGGGCTGGCGATCGATGCGGACCGCATCTTCCTCCCCCACCCAAACATTCAAAAATACCATCCCCCCACCAACCCTTCCCCGGGACGAGGGAGGAAAACAAAATGGAGTCGACGTTACGCGACGCGCCACTCTCCGCCGGCGCGGCGCGCGCAAATTCTCGCTTTTTCGAGAGCTCTCCTCCGAGAGGCCAGGGATTACGGCGCGCGCGAATGCATACGTCGGTGTTTTTTTCCTCCGAGTGCTCTCGGAGAGTGGCAATATCGCGGCACGCGCTCCTTTTTTTGGCCACCCCCGAACATTTTAAAATAGCAGCGTTTCGGAGGAGGAAAAAAAAGGCCATCCGCCGTTCGCGTGATGTTACGCGTATCGAGCGGAGGGTGCGGAAAGGGAGGAGGGAAAAACCTATTTAGTAGTGTTTGCGGATGGAGACACACCAAACGAGAAGGGAGACTCCTATTGGTTATCCGACGAGTAAACACGGCTCAAAAAACAAAAAAGAACCAAAGTAATCTCCGGGAAGAGGCGACCTCCGAAGGGAATAACCTCCGTTGCCACCCCCTCCCCCCGGCGCCCCATAAAAAAACGGAGAAAATCGACCGAAAGGCGCGATATTTTCCATTAAGTTCGGTCACGTGTCGGCATTTTCGGAACTTTTAAATCCGCCGGATGTGGGTCGTACGTGGGTTTTTTACTACGGGCTGACGACCGGAAGTGGAGGAGCGCGCGCGAGCGAGCGAGGGCGAAAGAAAGCTTTTTTTCCGCCATTGGAGCACGTAAAGAGCCAGATCGTACCTGTAAGAGAACGAGATGGACGACGCAGTTACACGGCTTAACTATTCCGTTTTTGGAAAAGTCGACGGACGTCATCATGTGCCGGAGGGTGCACTCCTGAGCCCCGCCTCTCTCTCCCCCGCCGCAACACTGGACGGCGGTCACGGGTTTCCACTTGTGCATGGGGCCCGGGCGCCAACTACCGGACGCCCCCGAACGAAGGGCAGAATAATAGGCACGCGCCACCTTTTCCGATCATCCTGCCAAAACAGACGGGCGTTTAAGACCGGGGGACGGGTTTCCGTCCCCGACCACCACTCGGTCGGCGCGTCATTTCCGGTTACCGTCGCGCGATCCGGTTAATTACGGTTTACCCGTCCGGAAGTTCGGGGGGAAGAAAACGAAACCGCGCGCCAGGGGGAGACGAAAGGCCATCTATAGCAATCGCCGAACGTCGAAATTTCACTTAACGCCACCCATTCGGAAAAAAGGCTAGAGAGGTCCATTTCCAGGATCCAAACCGGCGGAGGAATTGCGGAGGGATATTTGGAGTGGGGGGTGGAGGAGGGAGCGTTTAAGTCGAGCGCCTTCCACCAAGCAATGAAGACAAAGCGACGCTTTAAGCGCTTCCGAAGTGGTTTTTCGTGTCCCGATCGGAGTGTGTTCCTCTGTCGCGTCACGGAGGTCGTTGCCGACGATGTAACGAGGAAAGGGTCCGTTTAAACCGGTCGATTAGCGTCCGAGACTTTATAAATTACCGGAATTAACTCTTCTCCTTCCGCTTTCCACCCGCTCTTCGCCTCCATCCATCGGAC